ATACAGAGTTTTTCTTGCATATGTACTCACTGACATTTATTATCTCCTTCATGTTAGTTATCAGAGGCAGCTGCCTATGCAAGGAAGAAAAAGGTTATTCTGAAAGGAGATTTACCTATTGGTGTTGATAGGAATAGTGTGGATACTTGGGTATACCCCACTTTATTTCGCATGAATACAGCTACTGGTGCACCTCCAGATTATTTCGACAAAAATGGACAAAATTGGGGTTTTCCTACATATAACTGGGAGGAAATGTCAAAGGATAATTATGGGTGGTGGCGAGCTCGTCTGACACAGGTTATTTAATAGCAAATATTTTTTCCTGTCTGGCTGGTCATCTTTTATCGTCATTATTTATCGCCAGTTACCTTGTTCCAGATGGCAAAATACTTCACTGCATATAGGATAGACCATATCTTGGGTTTCTTTAGGATATGGGAGCTTCCAGATCATGCAGCCACAGGTCTAGTTGGGAAATTTAGGCCTTCAATTGCTCTCAGTCAGGTTGGTTTCTGCAGCTGTTAAACAAACTAAAAGAGACTAGAGAGCCTGAAGTTTATCTGACTTTTTCCTATGTTGATTTTCAGGAGGAGCTTCTTAGTGAAGGCCTATGGGATTTCGATAGAATGAGCCGCCCTTATATTCTTCAGGAAACACTGGAGGTTTGTCTTTCTTGTTCCTAAAACAATGATCTATCTTTTTTTTTTAACAGGAAGGAAAACAGGGCACCAGCATGACATTTCTATTCTGTTATAGGAGAAGTTTGGGTCCTTTTGGACAGTAATTGCAGCTAACTTTCTAAATGAGTACAAGAAACAACATTACGAGGTAATGCAATCAGTTATATTCTCTTTTCATGTTTGTTGAACGTATCACCTACTTAAAACCGCATGGCATGAGTAGATTTAGCTTAGGCTTTAGTACAGAAGTCTCCATTTCAAAATCAGCTACGTGCACTCCTTACTGCATTTTTCCATTACATTTCGTCCTCTAATTTCCCTTGCAATTTATTGTTTTGCACGTGTATAGTTCAAAGAGGACTGCAATACAGAGAAAAAGATAATTGCAAAGCTTAAGAACAGTTCTGAAAAATCATTATGGCTGGAGAAAGAAGACAGCATTCGGCGTGGTTTGTTTGATCTACTACAGGTAATTCATATCGAGTGCATATAATCCATGCTACAACTTTCTCTTAACCTATCCTGATCCTTTTCAATCCACATAAAAATATTATTTGAAATTCTCAACAAAATATCATTGAAATCATTAGAAATAAAACATACTGTTTATTCTGCAGAATATAGTCCTTATTAGAGATCCAGAGGACAGCACAAAATTTTATCCCCGCTTCAACCAGGAGGATACTTCAAGTTTTAACGATCTAGATGAACATAGGTAATATTGATTTTATTTAACTCCAATTGTTTCCTTCTCTATGTTCAGGTCGGACAAGACCTTGATCTGCACTTTTGCGTTTTACTCTGTAAATTTACTTCAAGCTAGTTAATGCTGATGAAGTATTTACTTTTTAGTCCAACAGGTTAACAGTGCAGGATCCTTGTGATATTGAACTTTGTTACATACTGCTCCTTTCTGTCCAAAATTTGCTTAGTTCTACTGCTATCGCCTTACTACATACTCTAATAATCGATATTTTTCACTATGCATCTCTAGTAGGCATCAAGAAAAATGAAACTAGTATATTCAGCAGCAGTTTCTTCCCAAGAAAATTATGAAGTACAGTAGCACCCAACGTTTTAGGTCTTGCTAATAGCACTCCCTTATTTATGCAATGAGCACTAACTAAATTGTTCCTTGTGGAGTACGAACTATTTCATCCTCTCATGAAAAACATTGTTTTACAGCAAAAATATCCTCAGAAGATTGTACTATGACTATTATTTTGCTCGCCAAGAGAATCTCTGGCGTCAAAATGCGCTCAAGACTCTGCCTGTGCTTTTGAACTCATCGGATATGTTGGCATGTGGGGAAGATCTTGGCCTTATCCCTGCCTGTGTTCACCCTGTATGATGTTTTCCTGCACATGCTAGTAAACAGCTATTGCTTGTTCTATGCACATAAATGACAGAAATATATTATCCAGGTTATGCAAGAACTTGGATTGATTGGATTGCGTATCCAGAGAATGCCCAGTGAACCAAACTTGGAATTTGGTATTCCATCTCAGTATAGCTACATGACGGTGCGTTTCCCTTCTGTTTACTTGGGTTCAATATGTTCATTGCTACAGATGCACACATACTTAGGTTGTATATGGCAAACTAAAAATGGTTTGGAGAAGCTATTCAGTTTGATGTTCAATTTTGTGTCATATTTTTTTCAGGTTTGTGCTCCGTCATGTCATGATTGCTCCACATTACGTGCTTGGTGGGAAGAAGATGGAGGAAGAAGAAGCCGTTTCTACCAGACTGTAATTGGTAGTGATGACGAGCCGCCATCTCGCTGCACCCCAGAAGTAGCGAACTTTATTGTTAAGCAGCATTTTGATGCTCCATCAATGTGGGCAATCTTCCCACTACAGGTATATAGGTTGGCTTGTTAACTTATATAAAAGATCAATACAGAATAAAGTAGATTAATGTACTTGGGGTGTTCTATTTGTCAGGACCTGCTTGCACTTAAAGACAAGTACACCACAAGACCAGCAAAAGAGGAAACAATCAATGACCCAACTAACCCGAAGCATTATTGGAGATTCCGTAAGTCAATTTTCCAATATTATTATTTTCCTTGCTTCATCAAAATTAGGTATTAAGAGTAAACAAATTCAAAAAGAGAATTGGCTATTCTTGACATAATAATACCTTCATACGAGAAAATTCCCATACAATTAATTGGCATAAAGCAATATGTTCACCATGAAAAAGATATGAGGCGATCAGATGATGTCACATTGTTGTCTGGTTTGATCAGTGACGCTGTTAGATCAATCAGATGATGTCAACAGCTGAAACATGCACAATTCAGCATGTGTCCTTATTCTATTGTCAACATGACTTTTTTTCTTGCTGATGGTCTACATGAGCAAATGAAATGCTATCTTCCCAACTACAGATGAACAAAAAGAATATCTCGGCGAGCGAACTTGTAGGATACTATCATTTTCATATGCTAAAGTGACGTCTCTCAAGTCCCATATAAAATTTGCGCATTCCCTGTTGTAAATTTGGCAACCCATAATTGAAGGTGTTTGTTTTTCCTTGCATCTAACTTCTCCCCTCTATTTCTTTAAGGGCTACATGTGACATTGGATTCGCTGTTGGACGATAAGGACATCCAAGCAACCATCAAGGAACTTGTCACAAGTAGTGGGAGGTCATTTCCTGGTAAGGTGGATGGCGCCGAAGAAAGCGGAGAGAAGCTAGCTAAAGTCCAGTTGAATGGTAAACCATAGAAAATTATCCCAAGAACAGCCGAAGGGTATCACGGTCAAAAGTAAATAGAATAAGGCAGCGTACTGCCAATTGGCATGCCAGTTCAGCTGGTGTTGTTTCAGCTAGAATTTTTTTTACGCCAACTTAATTCCATTTAACACTGGAAATAATTAGTATCATTCATCAAGTCGGCATGTGGAATAATTTATCCCCTGTTCTTTGCTAATAAAATCTTTTTCTGATGAATCATCTGTTTGCTAGTACTGAATATCTCTACCTGTGTCTACTTTGGTGTTTAATTCAATCTGATTTCTGCCGACGAGAAAACTTGCTTCTCTTCCTGAACCAAAACCCTTTCTTTCTCGGTTTCTTTTGGTAATGAGCAAAAGAATCTCAAGAGAAAGAAAAACAATCATGTTGCTTTTGTAGTTTTGGTTGTACCAGATGCCAATTAATATTACATTAGTAGCTGGCAAGCTGCCCTGCTCCTCAATGTGGTCCTAGATGTGAAGGTTAGCTTGGGTTAGGGCACTCTATTATATTCAGCCTCTGCTCTCAGCTTCTCAGGCTCACTGAACACTTCTCTCTGAAATCTGAAAAGTTTCTAACCTCTGTTTGCTAATTTTAAAGCAACAATGAGAAGGCTGCAATGAAATTCAGAAATGGACATGCTCTTGTGCCTTCTGGCTCAGATCACAACTGGCCTTCTTTCTGCTTACTTTGTCCGAGGTGTATAATTAGAAATAGCTACTACTTTCGTCCCTAAAAGATTTTATTTTTTAGCCTATCTTATACGGGGCTTTTAACTATTTGCCACTTTTAGATTTGGCAAATAACTATTTGCCACCCCCATCTCAATGTCATGTGGGTCCACATGTGTCTATGACATGTAGGTCCAGTGACAAAAGTTAATAAGTTAATTGCCACATCTAAATGTGGCAAATGGTTAAATATCTCTATCTTATACATACCAATACAGAGAAGAAGAAGAAGAAAAGAAGAGAGACTAGAATGCCTTTTATTTCTCAAATTCCAAGGCATTTATTTCCTACTTTTTCAAACTCAAATACATTAATTGCTTTAAAAATAAAGTCTCTTTGAAGTCTTTGTGAAGGTAACATTTGTTATCGGTGATAGTAATGGAAATTGATATGGTGTCAGCAAACATTAGGCAAATTAGTGCTGAATTTTGCAAGCTCAGAAAGCTTGATGCTGCTCTTTTCTACCACAAGCAGTGATAATGCTCACATGTGTGAATCACAAACTTTATTTCTGAAAAGCTCAGAAAGGACCTCAACAGCTACCTCTACTAGGCTCATTGCTGGCCACTAATTTAGAAAGAGAAAAAAAAGAGAAAACAAAAAGATTCTGATTGATAAAAAAAACCCTTCCCTTTTCTGGACAAGCAACCACTTTACAACCTCACTTAGCCTTTAATTAGGTCGCTTTCCACACCAAACCCAGATCTGAGCAAGGATTACAGTAAACCCTAGTGGTAATTTGATAGTACTATTTGCTTAATTAGTTAGTTACTGCAGTTACTGAAAAATCTTTGACCACAGGAGTTTCCAGTCAACCTAGTAGCTTAACTACCAGGCAGCAACGCACTAATCAATCAGTAAATCACTACGTGATTAATTAGTGCATTTGGCGAGGCTTCCACTAAAAAAAAAGCAAGTCTTTTTCGCCATTTAATCAGCAGATGGACATGGAAAGCGAGTTTCACCTTGTTGTGTGTTGGCACCCCACTACCTCACGAAGAATTCTTTTTTGGAAAAATAAATCAGTTTCAATTGTCCTTTTTTTTTGTGATTTGTACATTTAATTATTTTTTTTTCTAAAAAAACAATTCGAGGAGTATAATATTCATCAGTGAAGAATGCACAAATTGTTTCAACTCGAGATATAGAGCTGAATATTTGACTTGAATTCGAAATTGATTGGAACGCTCTACCGAATTTCAGATAGAACAACAAATGTTGAAAAATTCAATGGCTGTACAAGGAAATATAATTCGAAAAAGAAAAAAAAAGAAAAAAACCCATACGTTTTGTGAGTTTGTGTTCATCGATCACAAGCTCGTCGTCGTCGTCTTCTTCGTCGAGCTCGCGTTCATGGATACCCGGAGGCGAGGCAATCCTCCCAGAACTTGCGGTCCTCCTCCTGCCTCGCCGCCGCGCGCTTCGGGTCCTCCTCCTCCTCCTCCTCTCGCCGCCGCCGCAGCTCGCGCTCGCCGCCGCGGGCAGCCGCCGCCGCCGCCGCTAGCTGCGCCCACCAGACGCCACCCTCGGCGACGATGGCCTCCTCGCCGCCGACTTCGTCGCCGTCGTGGCACCCGTCTCCTTCTACGCAGCTGCTGCATCCGTCGTCGTCGTCGTCGTCGTCGTCCATCTCCACGTCGCCGCCGGCCGTCGGCGCAGGGCGGCACGTGTACGGGCACGACTCGGCGACGCTCTCGCTGTCGCTGTCGTCGTCGCCGAGGACGACGACGGCGCCGGCGCGGGGTGGCGGCGGGAGCGCGAACTGCGGCGGCGGCGGCGGCGGGTGTACGGTGGCCATCGTCGGCGGTGGAGGAGAGCAGACGGGTCGCAATGGAAGCAGTTGATATTTATAGCTGAACACCTCGCATGCACAACTAGTAGAAATGAGTACACTATTTTTACATAGAATTTGAGATCAATTTGAAATTTGTTCATATTTCTGCCTGCTGCTCCAATGCTGCTACTCTTTTAGAGCTGATAAATTATGCTTTGGTTGGTTGAGTTATGACGAGTGATAGACTCAGAATAAAAATTATTGAGATCCAATACATACTTAATTACCTTATTTATAATATAATATAAATTAACTAGTATCGAATAATTTACTCGGAGTTATGCGACCCTCGTAACTACTCCCTCCATTCTAAAATATAAGGCACAATCACCCTTAATCCAAAGACCAAGAAATAATTATTATCGTCTTGTAGTGTGTATCATCCTCATAAATATAATGCATGCATCCAATAGAATTAGATAATATGAGAGTGGATGATTTAAAAAAGTTATAATTTAATAAAGAAGATGTCATAGTTAATTGCATGCTTACATGCATGCCTTATACTATAGAACATTTAAGAAAAGTGGTTGTGCCTTATATTATGGAATGTAGGGAGTACTATGCACGAACGCCACTGGCTATGACCGATAAGAAAAACACGTGTAAAAATTTTACCAATAAATTATATTTTCTCTTATAAACAACTAAGTGAAACTACGAGGCAAAAGTGATTTAAAAAGCTAATGTTGTAAATAAACTATAATAGAACATCTATAATAACCTCTAGAATGGAAAATTTTAAAGTTCGGATGCGGCAGATAAGCCAACAAATCATCGATAAGATTATAATTTGTTTTTCTTCATGCAAATACAAAGAAGACATAAAACGAGATGTGAATACGTTCGTTTAACACATTCCAATTTCACTGTAACATTTTACTGCTGTTAATAAAGTCATATTTTTTTCCTTAACTTACATATGATTACTCCATATATTATCATCCAGTAATTAACTAATCGAATCGGCAACATTCACGCGGAAATTAATTTAACCAGTTTCATGCCTAAAATTATTGCCAAGTGCAGAGCACTACGAGTCCACCATTTTCTAGAAACACCTCGTTTGACCGGTATTAAGGACTGCTAATTTCCGACCGAGTCTTGAATCACCTGAAAAAAGTCATGCCAACGTAGTACATATTGTACGACCAAATACGGCTCAATTTCGGTCAAAAACTAAAAATTAAGGTTATTTCTTTTCAGATTATTTGTCATACTATTAAAACAGACAGATTACTCGTTTTTCGATTCGAAAAACACATTTTCTTAAGAAATTGTTCTTCAACTGGATTGTTATTACCATTTATTTCAAGTTATATGTTTAGTTTATTAATGAAAATATTTAATTTGTCTTTGTAACTAAGTGTATAATATAATCCGTAGTACTCCCTCCATTTATTTTTACTTTTGATAGTTATATTTCATCTTGTCATACAGACCAAGGATAAGTAATTCTACATATCATCCATTTAAATATACTACTAGTCATTCCTCGTAAAAAAACGATTCATTAATATTTACATTTCTCGATGCCCATATAGTCAATCTTGTGTGCAAGAATGAATAATCACGCATTAAATTCGAGAAAATCATTAAGATGATAGGTTGTTGGTTTGAAATATGCCTATAAAAATAATTTTTCCAGATTTAGAAATATAGCTGTAGGGAGTATCACTCAATAATCTGTTTGATACTGAGTCAGATCAAGTCATGGATTAGTCGTTTCTTTGAGAGAATTTAGTTTCAAATGCATATATATGTAATTAATTAGCAGGAGCAGATCGACGCGGGGGAGATTAGGTGGATGGAATTATGGAGCAGATCATGAACGCATCAGTCCTGGTGGGTTTCTAGAAGGAACAAGTTGCATTGAGGAACACGCGGCCTTTGCTGTCTGCTGCTAGCTTTAGCCGTTCTAGAAGCTTTGACCTTGGCCTCTCACCCCTCTTCTAGAAGCCAAAATGACGTCCATTAAAATTTCTTTTCAACTTTTTGGCTCCATGTGGTTAATTGGCTACAGTTCAAACTCTTCTCCCTCTAGGCTAGTAGTACTACTAGAGCGACTTCAATCGAGATAGTACAATTTTGAAGCTCCTAAAAAAATCCCATTTAAATTATATAAATTTTTAAGCTCCTCGAGAAAAAACTCTCGTTTAAATTCTAGTCTCGTTCCTTTCTTACGAAGAAGAAAATTTTACGTCGGTTTCCATTATCACGTTCTTCAAACTACTAAACAACATGATTTGTGCAAAAACTTTCTATACGAGAGTTGCTTTAAATATCAAATATATCATTTTTAAGTTTGTAATAATTAAAACTTAATTAATCATGCGCTAATAACTTTCTTGTTTTGTGTGCCCGTGTTTTAATATGAATTTATCTCATATTTCTTAGCACACTCTAACCGATCCTCTATTTTTTTTTACTTCTCACCATTTTGTTATATTCCAACTTTATCAGTGGTACATTTTAAAAATGTGAAGACAAACAAGTATGGAGAAAAGGATGAGAGCCAATCCTACAGTCGAGGAGTGGTGAAGGAAAATTTTCACGCTGTCACGTCAAATATTTAGACACATGGATGAAGTATTAAATATAGAAAAAACCAATTACACATATTGCGTGTAAATTGTGAGACGGATCTTTTAAGCCTAATTACGTCATGATTTGATAATATAGTGCTCCAGTAAATATTTGCTAATGACGGATTAATTAGGCTTAATAAATTCGTCTCGCAGTTTTCTGGCGGAATCTGTAATTTTTTTATTAGACTACGTTTAATACTTTAAATGTATGTCCGTATATCCGATGTAACAACCAAACCAAATTTTTTTCAAACAAGGCCTTATTGGGCAAATGGTTATGGAAGAGGAAAAAAAACTTGAAAATTTGGTTGAAGTCCGCTCGAATTTCTTCATTTCTCTGTTGATTCATGTATAATCGCTCCAAATGCAGACCGATCTGAAGGAGATGCAGGTAGGCATATTGCCGTGTGCGTGCAGGCTCTGCATACTGCGCGTGATGGTCAATCACCTCGACGACTCGCCAATCAGAATTCAGAGGAGTACTCTGTTCAATCAACGCATGCAGCACGCACTCACTCAACTTCTCCATCCATCATCTATCTCTTGGAAGAGTACTTTGTTCTTAGATTTGACGAGTTGACATTTTTGACATTATTATTAGCAGTAGCAAATCTGCTAATGGCTTTATTGACACTTTCACTCTGCATTCTGCTAGCTGGCATGCAGCAGTGCAGGAAAGCTTTTGCTTCTGACGGTAAATGCAGTCGACCACAAGTTTGCTGCATAAGTCTTCGACGTGTGGAAGGTTAAAAACACTGAAAATGATGGGTGGATTTGTCGATTTGGGACTCTCGCATCGCATGCGATCGATCCATCATTCTGCTAAAGTTAACCAGCAAAAGTTCAGAACAACCTCCACAGTTTGCTCTATATCTTTAAAAAATATGTTTCTTTAAAAATTTCTCTTCAGTTTCAGTTAAAAAAACTTACACCTCCCGTTTTAGGTTCTCTCTTAAATTTATTTATTAAAATATTTAATTTATATTCCTATATAGTAGTATGGATAATCCACTACAATAATCTAATGAATAACTATTTGATTCAAATTGGTCCCGTTTGCATGTCAAATACGGCCTTCAAGTTGTCAGTCACATACTGTTGCAGCAATTCATAGTATCACCTTTGATCGTCTGATTAAGACCGGCAAAGTTATAGTGATCCATCAAGTTGGAGTCAAGATTTTGCAAAGGTTTCAAGGAGAAAATATCTGTCCTTTGTTTTTCAGAAAGGAGAGTGATGGATTCTGTCAACTATCAACTTGATTAGCTTTGCTCTTGCAGTGATAGGATCTTGAAATGGACATCATATTCAGACCTACTCTCCTACTGAAGAAGATTAGCTGCTGCTATCAAGCAAAGCAGAACGCGTGAGAATTCCATGATGAAATGGACATCATATTCATGCCACAAATGGTTTGCTATCAGATTTGCTATCCGATTTCTGAATCTTCTTTTACCAAGTAAAAGCCCTGATTAACATGTTACAGCACATGAAAGCCATATATACAGTATACGGATATAATTTTTTTTGCAAAGTTTTTCCGTTAAAAAAGCGCCTCTTTCTCTTGTAAGGTTGTTAGTGTGGTACATCCTATTTACACTTTAGAGTAAAACTAGATGACCAGATCATTTTATTAATACAAGCTAAAAGTTCTTGTTTGGCACTTCTCAAAATCCACCTAGCCAAATTTAGAGTTTGTAAGTTAATTTACACAAGTTTCAGAAAATTATATTTTCTCTAAAGTAGAAATAAAATAATTTATTTAAATGTTGTCAAAATAATCATAACTCTACATTTATAGTTTTCTAGAGCTTGAAATACCTAGCTTCAATTAATACTGGACCTATAGCCATGTCAAACAAGATTTTTATTTTCCAAAAAAATCAGGAGTTGGAGCGATGCTAAATACTGCCTCCCTTCTTGTCTTACTTTGTTGACAAATTACTTCCGAAATATTATACTACCTCCGTTTTAATGTATAATGCCGTCAACTTTTTAATAAACTTTTGACCATTCGTCTTATTCAATTTTTTTAAACATAAAAAGTTTTAAATCATGCTTAAAAACATTTGATGATTATCAAGTCACAATAAAATAAATAATAAATATATTTTTTAATAAAATAAACAATCAAACATATCTTTAAAAATCAATGGCGTCATATATTAAAAGACGAAGGGTGTATTATAATAAAATAAAAGCTATACATGGTTATATTTACAACATACTTTTAAGTACTTATATATATATATATATATATATATATATATATATATATATATATATATATATATATATATATAACTTTTGGAAAAAATAAGTCTCTTTGTTTGAATTTTAGAACTTTGAATTTTTTACCCTAGAAAAAAAAAGAAAAACCTAACCCTTTGAATCTTTGGTATCCTTCAAATCTTCGGTATTCTTCGAGTCTTCGGTACGCTTCGAATCCTTATGGGGAAGTCTATAAATTATACGCCCCTTGCTTGAATCATAATGACTTACTTCAATTTTGACCCTATCCCCCATCAGTATTCGTATAGAACTAGACCGGATCTTTCCTGAAATAT